GTCTAAATGTGATACCACAGGCCTTGAGGAGTCCTGAGGTCAGCACCAATTCTTGTCTCTAGCTCAGATACATAGGCTTCTCCTTCAGAAGTTGGGTGGAACCATAGCTGCCCGAGTGATGCGTCTAACTTGGCTCGGAGTCTGCCCCACCATCCTTCATGGTGGGCTGAGTGAGGTTCTCTACGGCTGGACCAGTCAGTCCTCAGTCTCCAACACATTTACCCATTGATCTCATGCTGAATTGTGGATAGAGAATCTCCTCCCAGCATAGAGATGCTGGCTTTGCTCAGCTCCAGCTAACAAGGGCAGGAAAACAGCAGTGCTCAAGGACTATTATATATAGATCCAGCCCCTCTCATCATGAGCATCTGGGGTGGGGGAATCAAAGAACGTGGCACCTGAGGATGGACTGCCCTGGGCTGTCTGACACAGATCAGGTCCTTCAAGTTGGCAGCAGAGCTAAGAGTCACTCTGCACTGTGTCCCCCCCCCCCAAAAATAGAAAGCACAAGTCAAATGGATCATCGCACACACACATGGTTCATGGAGCACTAGTCACAGCAACATGAATGAACAGATAGGCCAGGTGTGGAGCCCATCTGCATGCCACCGCACACACGGACCTAGAACATAGTTTATTTTTATCCAATGTCCATTATGGGAAAATCCAGAGACTGACTACAGATACATCACAACTGGGGACTAGAGGAACGAGAACACTGAGATCTTATCACTGGATGGGCACGATGTCTCTGCTGGGCTCGCGAAAGCATTCTGAGACAGAGCATCTACCATGATGAACATGCTGAGTACCCCAAAACTGCTCACTTTAAAAGCAGGTGTGTCTGTGTGTAGCAACAATCCCAGCACTGGGGAGGTGGAGACAGGCAGGTTCCTGAGGCTTGCTGGCCTGAAGGCTAGCTGACTTGTCCAGCTCTGGGTGCAGGGGCAAGCCTTGTCTCAAGAGAGGAGGTAGAAGACTGGAGAGACGGCTTTGCCAGTTAAGAGCATTGGCTGATTTTGCGGTGGAACTGAATTTGGTTTCCAGCAAGTTGGCAGCTTACAGATATCCATGACTCCAGTTCCAGGGCATCCAGTGCCCTCTTCTGGCCTTTGAGGGTACCAGACACATGTGGTGCACCTACACACATGCAGACAAAACATGCATACACACACAAAACAAAACTCTTTAAAAAAAAAATAAGGTGGAGAGAGGTGGAGGAAGGATACTCAGTGTTGACCTCTGGTTTCCATATGCACAGTCATGCACACGTCATGTCATGCCTGCACATGTACCCAGACACACATGAACACATGAACACAGATACAATCTGAAGGGTGACAGTCAGGCTCCACAGTGCACCCTGTCACACTCACGACAGACATGTATGGCAGAGCCTGGTATTAAGAAATCTGGTGGGTTATGCCAGCCATGGTAAAGGAAGGCCTTGGAACTGCAAGATCTTGGCCCTTTTATGGCACTCCAGTACCCCCCCCCCCCAACAAATCCCGACAGCAACACCTGACTTGTTTATCCGTCCCTTTCTAGTGTGAACCACGCTGAGCACACAGGCCTCTCTGGGGCTCTGGGGATTGGTAGGTAATTAATTCACGTCTGCTGAGGTAAGCACCAGAGGCCCCCGGGGGAGAGGAGGCTCCAACTCTCTTGGTGGATTAGGCATACATGGCGGCCTCTACCCGCTCTCCTGGCGTCTGGCTGTGCCAGGCAGGCCTGCCAGTTCCATGGAAGTTTACGTCTCTTTAATAAAGATTAAGATGTCAGAGGGCCAGTGTTGTACAAAATCCCACTTTTATTAACTTCTCATTACCAACTGAAGAGCGAGGCCTCTTTCTGAACTTCCGAAGCGGCATGGTTTCTGGAGAAAATGGTTATTAAATATGCATTCACGATGGCTGCAGCTAGGGCAGTTCTTGCTGAGTAAGCAACTGGGCTGCACGCCTCCCCGGCTGGACCCAAAACAATGGGGGACTTAATGAAGAGAGTGACCGTATGGCCTTGCCAGGCTGGAGGGCATCCCTGGAGGGGGCTGGGCTTCGTGTGGTATCAGCTGGTGATGATGAAGGGCCCTGGGGATCTCAGGCCTTGGTCTTGACCAGAAGCCAGTCCTCGGGCTCCAGTAGGTGCCATCAGTACCCATGCTGCACTGGCTGGACTGTATTATTAACTGGATCTCACCATCATCTCCCTGTGACACCCTCAGTTCCCTGCTTGAACCCCCAGGATGAACTGGGTGACTGGTGGCAAGAGCTCTCTCTGCCTGTGCTGGAATCCCAGGGGTCTCCAGGGGCTGCTGACTGACACTGCTGCCCCTTTTCACTGTGACTCCTTGTCACCCCGAGAGTTTGAGTCCCGTGGTACAAGCAGAGAAACCACGCTCTGGTAACCTACCTCTCTTCTTCACCTCCATGCACCACCCCCTTTTCCTACTCCATCTTCCATCACGAGCTCTAGCTCCACTTACCTCTTCCCCTTCCTCACCTCACTAGCCCCTATCAGCCATGCCCAATCCAACCCCATCCTAGCGACTGATCCTTCTCGGACTATACCAGGCACACCTGTCATGACCCCCGACTGAGCCTCCTTGGGTCACACCTGCTATGACCCCCAACTCGGCATTGGCCAGGCTTCTGGAGGCCAAGGTCACCTCCCTCTGACCCTGACTCTGAGTCTCACTTGTGCTGTGAGTCTCCTCCAGCCTTCCCCTCCGGGCTCTAGGTAGGAAAGGAGGGCTATCTCCTCCATCATTGCTCACACCTCTCCCTGGGGCTTCTCCTCCTGCACACGCCCTTCTGCCAGCAGCTCACACACAGGCTGTCCTGCCCCTCATCCTACACGCACACAGTTTCAGTTGCCAAGAACAAGGCTCCACTTTCTACAGGTGCAAACATGATTCACTCCATAGAAAACCACACTTCGAATTGTGGATCCAAGTCTCTTCTCAAAGCTATCATCTCATGATACGCAGGCCCACCCACTCGCTCATCTTCTGCTGGGAGCAGCCAGTTAGGATTCCCGCATAGCCCAAGGACAAGGGGGGAATTCTCACTCCCTGAAGAGTGAAACAGGACAGAAGGATTAAGTCCATTCCACTTACAGTATGTTCAGATGATGATGAATGAATTCATATCATCTGGACTGCGAGCACCCGCCTGCTGTCCCCATGTTCCCCATGTCAGCTTCTGTCACTCCCACATCACCATCTCATCACCACCATCACTACCATCCTTGTTCTTGATGATGTCACCAAGTCCACTGCCTTTGGGTACCCAAGGACTCAGTAGTGCATGTCTGCAGGCTCCATGAGGAAAGTGAAAGAGTCCCTTCAAGGGGGCTTACGTGTTGCCACTTCATCCCTGGAACTCTCAGCTCTACCTCCAAGGCCTACCAGACCCCAGTTTCCAGCCCTGGCTGTGCTTCCGTGATCCTTCTCCTTATAACCTCTCCTAGGTTTCCTCTTTTTTCCGGTCAAGGGGCCGAGGACCCTCATTCCAAGCAGGTGGAGTGTGTGCCTAGGAGCTCTTTCCTGAGCTCAGAACCCTTGGGAAGAGCCAGGAGGGAATGAGATGAGGAAAGATGGGACATATGGAAAAAGGGGTTCCTTTCACCAAATGGAGAGATGAATGAATGTCGGTCACTTGGCCCCTTCTGTCATCTTCCCGGGGAACGTCCAAAGGTCTTTTCTGAGTGTCTCTTATCTACATTGTTGGACAGGGTTCTTCTCTAGTGCTTGTCTGGTCCGGGCTGGCCTCCTTGGAGTAAATGATATCTTTTGCTGAATGAGACTATTGCTCTGTGGCCCAGAGAAACTAGCAGCTGAAGTCTGCAGGGTTGTGTGAGGTGGCTGCAGCGGTGTGGGAGCTCTCGGGTGGAATTCCCAGTGAGGTGACACAGCCTGTAGTCCTGACACACCTTGTCACGGGTTTGTGTTCTGGCTGCCTCTCCTGGGACTCCAGAGCACTGGACCAGTCTCCAGACGAGGTACCTGGGGGTCAGGTCCTCCCCAGGCCAGACAAGCTGGGTATGGTATAAGTGGGGGCAGCCGCCGTGAGTACAGGGTTGTGTAACCTGTGCTCCAGGGCCTGTCTGCCGAGAGGGAGAAGGGACTCTCGCTGCTGTGTAAACACAGTCTCTAAAGGGCTCTGCGTTCTCACCCCTCTCTCCCGGCTCTCCAAGCACACGGAGTTGCAGGCTTATCAGGAGGCTGTCTGGCGGTTAAAAGATGTTTCCCTGCATTGTGAGGCTGCATGGAAACCAAGGCATGTCAGCCCCCAGGACAAAGGAACTCAAGTGTTTGAAAGGCAAAAATATTTTGACCTGGCTACATCATTTTTCAAAGGAAAAAAAGTAATTCACGGCTCACAATCTACTGCTAATTCACAGGAAGTCCTGTACTTCTTATTAAATCCCCAAGGCCCGCTTTTCTATGTGAGAGGTCGTCTATGAGGGCCAGGGTGTGAGGGAGGTTTATGACTTCTCCTTCCACCTCTTCCTGTTATTTTTTCTTTTTAATACCTTGTCTTGCTGAATGAACCCTCTCTGCAGTGCTGTCCCAGGCCTTATCTTTGGGGTCCATACTGCTGGAGAGTTTGAATGAGTACACAGTGACTGCCTTGGGCTGGCAAGTCAGGAACTAAGACCCTAAGAAACTAAGTGATTCATCCAGGTCACCCCCATAGTGGGGAGCCATAACTGAAGCTCCCATAGTTCTCATAGCCCTCTGGGAGTAGCCTCTCCTGGTTCTTAGGTTCCCTTAGCAATGGTGCATCTGGAGAAGTCCTCAAGGACTCATGGATATCAGTTACCATCATCAACATACTACCATCTCACCACTATCAACTTCCCCATGATTATTACCACCACCATCACGTCACCATCATCACTTCTGCCCCCCTCATCACCGCCATCTCTATTACCACCATCATCGCTGCCATCACCGTCACCACCACCATCATCTCCACCATCACCACCATCATCTCCACCATCACCACCATAACTGTCGCCATCACCATCACCACCACCATCACCACCATCATCACCACCATCACGACCATCATTGCCGCCATCACCATCACCACCATCATCATCATCACCATCATCACCGCCATCATCATCACCACTGTTATCACTGCCATTGTCATCACCACTGCTATTGCCACCATCATTATCACCACCATCATGGCAGCCATCACCATCACCACCATCATCACTGCCATCAACACCCTCACAACTGCCATCCCTGACCTTTGCCTCACTCTGTGCTACAAAGTGTGTCAGGTGCTGCTACCTGTGCTCGATACATAGTAACTCATGTAAACAACCACAACTTTGAAGCAAGAACCTCTCTGGAAATGCCTGGCTACCACAGAGTCCTTTGCACTTCCATGTCCCCTACAGAGGTGTTTGCAGACATGAGATTTCTGGAGTGTATCAGTGAGACCTAGCATGGCAATGAGTTGAACCAAGCTCCACAGTGCCTCTGAAACTGCACTTGGGGTTTGGTTCTCAGACGACAGGAGTCCCCATTGTGCAGGATGTCTTCCCATGGGCTACAAGGCAGGAGGACCTTCTCTGACTGGTGAAGGAACAGTTTCCTTTCCTTGGAAGGGGCTCAGTGGGGTGAGAAGACACCACACTTCCATAGTGGAGTCTTCTATGTGAGGGGGATCCCAAAGGGCCCCAATAAGAACAAGAGCTTTGATGGGAATTTGAGTTACATGCCATCTCAAAAGCTGGGCATTTAATAAAGAAGGCAAATTGGGGGAACACCCTTTCTATAACACCAGGTGTAAGAAGATGGGGTCACAGCACAAGGATTGCCAATGAACAAGGAGGAGTGGGGATGAGGTGTACCTCAGACTTCAGGAGGGACCTGGGGAGAACACAGGGCTCCTGGGGAGCACAGGAGGTGGGCTGCCAGGTCAAGGCTTATTGGGTGCTCTCTGGGCACAAGAGGTACTGAAGAGCCTGAGTCTATCTGGATCAGAAGCTCCCCTACCACCACCACACACAACTGAGAACAGGCTGCCACTTTGTACTTGGCTGACCTTGGGAGAGTGAATGTACTGTCCTAATCAGTTTCCTCATAAGTACACAAACGGAGTATAGCTACTGCTCTGCAGGGTAGCTGTGAGTCCCCTAGAGGTCCTGAGATGTGTCCTAAGAATAGGCAGGCTGGCTTCTGCCACCAGAGCCTCAGAGTCACCGTGGTATGACAGCCATCAGAAAGGCAAAAGCTTACCCTGACACAGCCATTGCACACTGAGTCCAGCTGTGTCACCTGATACCCCCAACAGCAGACACTCTCCTTCAGACCTGCCCTGGGCCTCTTCAGGTGAGCTGAGCAGGGAGGGGCAGTTCTGTCTCCACGCCCCCAGTCCTACCCCACTCCAGGCGGCCACCAATCCTGCCCCCTCTGAGGTCTAATTTGATGTTTTCTTCCACCTTGCCAGCTCCCTCTCACTCCTGCCTCTGCACTGCTTGTCCAAAACAGAAGTACAAAGGGAGGAAAGCTATTCAAATCCCTCCTCCTTGGTTTATTTTTGCAGCTCTCTGGGGTGCCCGGGCTTCAGAGTCTCTTCTGATAATTATCTGCCCTTTCAGGGCCTTAGGAACCCAGAATCCCCAGTTCAGAGGGCTAGAAGGAAGCCCTGGCCTGGCCTGGCCATGGCACACTGGACCTTCTAAGCAAATGCTACAGGCACAGGAGCTTGTCTTTCCCTCCTCACCCTGTGAGTAGTGTGAAGGAGATTCTGTAGCCTCTGAGCCCCCCACACCCTGCTGGTCTGTGATGAACACCATGCCAGACTCTGTCTGGGTGATAATTTTCCGTCCCCGACAACGCAAACATTTCTGAGGCTAATCCTCCAGGTCTCAGCCATTGCTCAGAAATAACGGAGCCGAGGCTCCGACATAAAATAATACATCTTGCTTTTTATGACTTCATTTATCAACAGCACACTGGAGCAACATCTTGCTAACTGGGTGAGAAGAAGCTGTTGTTTGCTGGGTGCAGTAGGCTGATGGACGTGGGTGTCAGGTGGATAACGAATCCCGTTAGCATACAAAGAGGCCGAGGCAGAGAGAGGGTATTCGTCAGAGAAAGAAAGAAAGAGTATTAAAAAAGAAAATGGCATATCATGCTGAATCTGTTAAATTAAGAACTGCGCTCCCTCTTACCAAAACCAATTTGTTATCCTTGCTGTTTCTCCCTGTATATGGTGGGAGAAAAGGAGTTGCTCAGGATCCGGCTGGGCCTCCTGGCTCACTGGTGCCCAGGGGCACAGCCCAGTCCATCTGCATATGGGGGTATTTCTGCCTCAAAAGCACAGACAGGGCCAGCAAGGTGTCTCAGCAGGCAAGATGCTTATTGCTAAGTCTGGCAACCTAGGTTAGATCCCTAGGACCTACATGGCAGAAAGAAAGAGAATTCATGAATGTCCTCTGACATCCCTCATTGCCATGGAACATACATGCTTATGGGCACACACACACACATGCACACACACATGTAATTTTAAAAATTAAAAGATTGCAGTAGAGAAAGACCATTATAGAGTCACAGTTGATCAAGGTGCAGACCACAGCTGACTCTGGGATGCCCAACTCCAACTGATACATCTACAACACAGGCCCTATACTATATGTAAGGCTCTTATACTATAAGAATGCCACAGGATACTGGTCAGGAAGGTTGCAAGAGCCAGAGGACCTGGCTGTCTGCTTGAGATTGTGTTTTCTATCTATGGCAGGAAATCTGCATACAGGAAATTCCAACAATATGGTTGCATCAACAAGACAGAAGACAACAAGCACAGTTGACATGGTACGGGACCTCACGTCTAAGAGAATCAGTCTTCTCCAGAGGTGAGCCCCCATGATAGGGTAGCTGATCCTAAGAGGTTGGTCCAAAAGACACATAACCAACACTCAATGATCTTAGCAGGATGTATTCACCAACTTATGCATGCGCGTATGTAACTATTACGATTGGAGACTAAGTGGCCATGAATCTGAAAAGGGGAAGAGTCATAGGGAGAGTTGGGTGGAGGAGAGGGAGGGGAGAACAATAAAAATACAGTACTCACAATTCGAAATTCTCAGAAACATAAATTTTAAAAATTAAAAAGGGAAAATTTGAAAATTAAAAATAGAAATAGCACAGAGCCCACCGCACAGGGGTGTCCTGGAAATGTAGCCCCATGAGGCGTATTCAGCTTGAAATGGGATACAACAGAAGAGAGAGAAGAGCAGGGACCCTCTGTGTACAGGACCGAGTTCTCAAGACCCCAACTCTGGGAGAGGATAACTTGGCAAATCAGCACCCCGGACAGCTCCCCGCCCCCACAGTAGGTGCTTGTTAGCAAGAGCGTCTTCAGTGGGCAAAGGAAGCAAAGTTGGAAGTTGCTAGGCTGCAAGATTCCAAGATACAAGGAATTCCACAGGTGTGGACCCTGCTGTGTGTTCACCTGCTGGTGGCTTCATTCACAGGTCTGCGTGCATTCGAGATTTCTATTCGTTCTGTTTTCATGCTTTGACCTGGAAGCCTTCTTTTTGACGTCACATTGTCTAGATGGGGATTTAGGGGCACTGAACACTGGGTTGGTCACTCTGGTTTCTACGCACTGGTATCCAACCATTAGCCAATAACAACTAGCCAGGGGCCACCCTGGGTTTCTTCTTTCCCAGAAAAAGGCACCGGGACACTGCTAAGACACACTTGGCATCTCCTGAAGCAAGGGGCCATTTCCCCTACAGCTCTGGGGAAGTCCAGAGTCTCGACCTGAGACTGTCCCTCTCAAGGGGTAAGCATGTCAACAGGTCAACCTGAGTCCAGCAGGGACAGGTAAAGTCACAGCGGTTGAATGTGACAGAAGGGTAGCTGTGCATTCTTCATCCTATCTCTGTACTTAAGGGCTACTTGCCTCAGACTTCATTCTCAACAGATATAGAAGGAGGAGCAGTACCCTAGCTTGTGACCTACAAGCTAGGCAGATGTCAGCCCAGATACCACCTCCTCCAGAAAGTGTACTGCCCCATCCAACTCTGTGGCATCAATAAGAGAGGCACTGTCACAGAAGTGGCCACATGCTCTTTCTGTGCTCTGGCATAGAAGTGAGCCTGTCTACTTCTTCCTCCTCCCCACCCCCGAGCCCCAGGATCATACACCCCAGACAGCTGACAATAGATGCTCACATCCTATGGGGCCCAGCCATCAGAGGACAGCCATGTTCTGCTGACCCACAGGCAACCTGTCTCGTCTGCGTGAGTGAGTCAGGGATGCTATTTCACGTCACAGGGTCCTAGAATGATGGAGGAAGGTCATTGGCCAATAAACGAACTGCCTGAGTCCATCTGATAGGGCAGAATTTAGAGAGGCGGAGTAAATAGAACAGAATGCTGGGAGGAAGAGGAAGTGAGCTCAGAAACCATGCAGCTCCTCTCAGAGGCAGATACGATGAAGCAAGCCACCAGGTCAGACATGCTGAATCTTTCCAGGTAAGACCGGTGCTACACAGTTTATTAAAGATGGGTTGATTGGGATATGAGAATTAGCCAGTAAGGGCTAGAGCTAATGGGCCAAGCAGTGTTTAAATGAATACAATTTGTGTGTTGTTATTTCGGGGCATAAGCTAGCAGGCGGCCAGGAGCTGGGCTACGGGAAGAGGCCCACAGCTCCCCACTACACTAGAATGCTTTGTCATCTAGCAACATCAGGACACTAACTTACCATTCCAGCCACTTTCACTGACTCCAGCCCACCCAGGCTTGCCAGGTCCTGAACTCAGGCCAATAGTTCACGACCACTCCAACTTCAGCTGTGGAGGGGCCAATATGACCCTCACATCGTGCCTGCAGAGCAATACTGGAGCCATGTGGAACCACCGGACACATACACTTAAGAGTCCTTGCCAAGAACTGTCTACTGGCTAGCGTTTGACAGCGTTGCCTTGTGCCTGTCCCGCCCAGTCTCCCTGCCTCCAGCTCAGTAAAGCACAACTAACAATGTCTGAGGGGTGACAGTAAACATGTCTGTCACAAGGCTACACTTGTGTAAGTGACCACCACAGGTGTAGACACCACAAAT